GAGGAGGTTGCAGTGAGACGAGATTGTGCCACTGCACTCCAGCCTGGCGACAGAGTGAGACTCCATTTAAAAAAAAAAGAAAGAAAAAAATGATTTATACGTAAATTATATGGTATGTGTGTAGCAAAGAATAATCACCTGCCACCTCCACCCCCTCCCGCCAATCCCAGAGGATGCTGGGTGTGAATCCCCGGAACCTCTTCCCTGGGTTACATGGAAAGGGGAGTGAAGGCTGCAGATGGAACTGAGGTTGCTCATAATCTGCCCTGGAGAAGGTTGATTTTCTGGGTTTCCCTATGGGTCCAATGTAATCACAGGATCTTTGTAGAGAAAGAGGCAGACAGAAGAGGGAGAACAAGATGGGGGGCACCCTTAGGATCCAGCCTGGTGGAGCTCCATTTGAAGGTGGGGAAATGGGCCCTGAGCCATGGATGTGGGCAGTTGGAGAAGCTGGAAAAGGCAAGCAGGAGACAGTTCGCTCCAAGAGCCTCCCAAAGAAACACATCCCTGACAGCACAGTGATGTTAGCCCAACAAGACCCATTCCAACTTCAGATCTCCAGAATTGTAAGACAACACATTTGTGGGTTGGGTTTTGTTGTGTTTTGTTTTGTTTTGTTTGCAACCTCTACCTCCTGGGTTCAAGTGATTCTCCTGCCTCAGCCTCCTGAGTAGCTGGGGTCACAGGCGCCGGCCACCACACCCAGCTAATTTTTGCATTTTTATTACAGACGGAATTTCACCATGTTGGCCAGGCTGGTCTTGAACTCTCAACCTCAGGTCATCCACCTGCCTTGGACTCCCAAAATGTTGGGATTACAGGCATGAGCCACTGGGCTGGGCTTAATAAGATATGTTTTAAAGTGGTCATTGCTTTAGGGGGAAAAGTTCAGGTGAAGAAGATCCCGGATTGCCTGGCCAGGCAGAGATCTTGCACTAGGAAATAGGTGCCTCTACATTTAAAAATGATTAAGATGAAAAATTTCATGTTACATGAATTATACCACAATTTTTAAAAAGAAAGAAAGAAATGAAAAGGATTGCAATGGGAGGCGCAGGCATGGAAGGATGCACCTGGAGCAGGTGTGGGAGTGAGCCCAGCAGATGCCTGAGCATCAGTCCACGCTGAGGGGAAGGCAATGCAAAGTCCTGGGGCACGGGGACAACTGCAGGGCTCTGAAGATCAGTCAGGAGGCCGAGGAGGCCGAGGGTGGGGGTAGGAGTTGAGTGGCAAGGGGGCAGCGTAGAGGACAGCTGGCCAGGCTGCGCAGGGCTCCCTAGGCATCACTGGTGACTTTGGTTTTACTGAGAGAAAAGGGACACTTTGGGAGGGTTTGCAGCAGAGGAGGGACGTGTGTGGTGAGGTTCGGAAGGATCACTCTGGCTGCTCTGTTGTCAGTAGCCATTTGGCAGCTGGGGACAGGTACAGGGGCCAAGTAGGCTCGGCCTTTCTCCAAGCTTGGCAACCCCTTCACCATCTTATCCACCTACCTATCCATCTACCTATCCATCAGCCATCCAAATTACCCACCTGTCTACTATCATTCCTTCAACCACCTACTCACCCGTCCACTTCCCCTCCCACCTTTCTATTCATCCATCCATTTGTCCACCCAGGCATTCAATTAGCATTCACTGTATATCTATTGCTCTCCAGTCACCATATAGAACAGACCTGGACAAGAAGAAAAGCTGGTCGCCAGCTCCTTGTAAGTTTTAATCTACAAAGGGAAACTAGAAAACTGAAGAACTAAACTTTAGGGCAAAAGATAGTTTGTGTCATACAGGTGACACAATCGCCCATTGGTCTGCAATCCCCTGGCCAGGAGGACGGTGGCCAAGAACGAGGGTTGGAGACTAGATGACGGTGTGGTCAAATAATAGACGTTTTATTTCTAGTTCAAAGAAGAGATAGAAAAGAGGTCCAGCTAATAGGTGATTTTTTAAAAAAAATTCTTCACAGCCTTACCACATAACCTCTAAATCCTCAGTAATGTTGGCTCCATTCACAAGTAGCTGGTGTCACTTTGGTGGGGGCTTTGTAAGGAAGTGGGCAGGTGTCTTTCAAGGAAGATGCAGGAGAAGAGCTGGTCTTCCAGTTGTGGAGGGGAATGGAGTTACAAGAAGAAAACAGCGAGGTTCAGTGAAATGCAGTGGGAACACGAGCTCAGCTCAGGGGCAGGAGCTCCGGGCCTTAGAGAGCAGGGTGATCCTAAAGTGTTCACACAGAAACCAGGCGATAGAGGGCACCAGCACCCGCCAGACACGAGGTAGGGCCACTGTCACCGCTATGCCAGGGCCTGCAGAAGCCTAAACCCTGAAAAAAGGTGGGGCCCCCTACCTACATATCAAGGAAAACATATGTATGCTATTACATGCTGGTCTCCAACAACTGCTAAAATTGTTCACTGATGATGAATCAGTAGTGAACTGAATCCATTTCCTAACAAGAAGCCCTGTTCTAGAATAACTATGTGACAGTTGGCTGCGCCACTGTCTGTGCACGGTGGGCGGGTGTTCTGCTACATAGGCCTCTCCACACCCAGAGGGACTGAGCTGATTTCTGCTCCTCTGAGAATTTGTGCATAGAGGCTCTGAGAAAGCAGTCACCTCAAGCCTCTCCATCCTAGAGAAGGCAGAAGGACAAATGTCTCCTGCTGGTACAAAGTAGGGAGTGGAGAGCGGCCGGTATTCCAAACACCAGTGCAGAGGGAACGTGTGCATGTTTGGGAGTGAAGGAGGCAAGCAGGGGCTCGGGTGGTGAAAATCCATCTGTAATGGTAGACCAGTTGCTGGTTGTTCACAGCTAGTTTGATTAATATTGGGGTGTGCTTGGGGTTGAGAGAAAATCTCAGCCCTTTAAGAGTACAGAGTTTGAATGGGTTATGAATAGTGGGAGAGGGGAGAATGGAGATGAGAGAAAATACAGGAAGGGGGAGGGGGCACCAGGAAGAAAAGGAAAAGCAAAAGAGGCAGGGAGGGGAAGGGAAGGGGAAATTGGAGGAAGGGAGAAGGAGCTCACATAACCTCCAGCCATGCTGCTCACACCAGAGGGTTTTTTTTTTTTGCAGGGGCAGTGGGGATAGGAGAGGAGAGAGAGTTTATTCAAAGTTAATTTTGTTTTCAAATGTCTCCTGTTATTTTTCAATAAATAATTATATTTTGAATACTTGAAAAACACTCCTTTCACAAAGTTCTTCTTTAATTGGGTCTCTACAGGCCTCTCCTTTGCTGTGCCTCTGCTGGCAGTGCCCACAGCCACACTGTTAGACAACATTTCTTCACCATTCCAGTGAGGGTGTATGTGTGCCCGCCCACTTCTTGCCTGTTACTCTCCACAGTGTGCCAAGAGTGTCCCTGACTCCTCGCCCTGTGCACCTTCTTTGCCATCTACTGTTGCTACTAACAGCCTTGCAGATCGGGGTTGGTGACTGTCCTGAGATCACAAGACCGGGCTGAGGACAGGGAGGGGGAGGGAGAAAGGTGGGGGGTAGGTGACTGGGGCTTCATGCAGGCTTCAGGCAAGTGGGTACCTGCTCTTAAGGATGAGGTGAGGAAGAGGATCCCTGGGATGTTACCCCTAGTTTGTGGGAGACCCCAGCCTGAGATCCCAGGCCAGGCACTGGCTCACAGGTGACAGCTCTACAATGCTACCTCCCACCTTCTACTCCAGGACCCTTTCCTGAACACCCAGGACCCAGGAGGAATTTGGTGTGTGTCCCATGATAAATGCCTCTTTTTCCTTTTGTTGAAGGTCCTATGTGTTCATCTAGATTTGAAGTCTCAGGAGGTCACACACTGGCTTGTCTGTTTTGTACCTCGGAATTTGGTAGATGTTGCTAAAAGTATTTGTGACATGAATCCTCCTGTTAACGCTGTTAACACTAAGTGGACCCCAGAGGTCCCTGGTACCATCAAGTATCTCACCCCAGACAGTCAAGGGGAGATGGGAGCAGAGATCCAGAAGGTTGAAGGATTCTGGGATGGAGCCACCCCCTCTGCCAACCTGGCCGGGTCCAGGAAGTCTGGGGACACAGAAGCGAGGGTTCTAATGGGCCTCTTCCCCTGTCCTGGACCTCACCTGCGTTTTTCTCTCACAGGTGCTCACTCTCTTTGCTTTGACTTTGCTATAAAATCATGGTCCAGACCAGGGCAGCCCTGGTGCAAAGCACAGGGCTTCATGAATAAAAATATTTTCCTTCAGTATGACAGTGACAGCAACATGGTCAAACCTGTGGGCCTCCTGGGGAAGAAGGTAAATGCCACCATCACATGTGGAGAATTGACCCAAAAGCTGGGAGAAGTGGGGCAAAACCTCAGGATGCTCCTTCTTGACATCAAACCGCAGATAAACACCAGTGGTAAGTGTGGAATGGAGGCAGGCAGCAAGAGAGGGGAGGGAAGAGCACAGGTGGGGAGGGGCTTTAGGTGTATTTGTGTATTGATTGATCATTGGCCCAATCATAGAGGCACATAGGACCCAACGGGCAAGAAAGGACAAGTCCAGGCAGAAAGAATACAGGCCTCTAAATGTGCAGAGAAACACTTGACCTGTTGGAAGATGATGGACTTCTTAAGAGTTGAGGATGATGGCTTTGTGTCTGGATTGCAGGTCCTTCCACTCCGCAGGCCAAGATGTTTTGTCAATGTGAAGCAGAACGATGCACTGGTGCGTCCTGGCAGTTTGCCATCAATAGAGAGCAATCTCTCCTCTTTGATATGATGAACATGACCTGGACAGCAATTAATCATGAAGCCAGCAAGATCAAGGAGACATGGAAGAAAGACAGAGAGCTGGAAAAGTATCTCAGGAAGCTCTCAATGGGAGACTGCAATCACTGGCTTGGGGAATTCTCAGAGCACTGGGAGGTGATGCCAGAACCGACATTCATGGCTCAGAAACTCTGACCACAGAAAAATTATCACATTGTTTTTTGTTTGTTTGTTTGTTTTTTGAGATGGAGTCTCACTGTGGTCACCCAGGCTAGAGTACAGTGGTGCGATCTCGGCTCACTGCAACCTCGACCTCCCAGGCTCAAGCGATTCTCCTGCCTCACCCTCCCAAGTAGCTGAGATTATAGGCACCAGCCACTATGCCCATATAATTTTTGTATTTTTAGTACAGATGGGGTTTCACCATTTTGGCCAGGCTGGTCTCCAACTACAAACCTAATGTGATCTGCCCCCCCTCGGCCTCTCAAAGTGCTGGGATTACAGTCACGAGCCACTGCACCTGGCTAATTTTCATATTTTCAGTAGAGACAGGGTTTTGTCATGTTGGCCCGGTGGGTCTTGAATTCGTGGCCTCAAATGATCTGCCCACTTGACCTCCCAAAGTGCTGGGATTACAGCATGAGCCACCAAGCCCAGCCACAAGTAGTTCTTTTCTGATAAACACTTTAAAACTAAATGAAAAAAAAGTGTGTGTTACTAGTTTTTTGTTTTATTTGTTGTTGTTGTTTTTTTTATTTTAAAACAGACACACCAAACATGTTTCTAGAGTAAATGTCATGTGGAAATCTTTCTTTTTCTCCTCCATTCTCAATGAGGATATGGTTGTAAATTCTTATTATCTGGTAATTTTTATCAGAACTATACAAATTATAAACGTATTTACAACTGTTTTCAGACTATCCCTTCTATCATAATCATACAACTGGATAAAATTGGCAAGTATTTTTTGTTTTATTCCTTTATTTTTATTTTCATGGTTTCACAAGAATATAATGTACGTAATCTGTCTTTCATTTTAAACCTAAAGTCTTCCTAATTTCTTCTTCATAGTTTCAACAGAAATAAAGGTAACAATTCAACGCATCTGTCCCTTCAATAAGAAGATATTTTATATATTTAAAAAACAGATTAATAATTTTTAAATACTTGCTATCACAAGAAAATTGTATCTAATAAGAAGAACTAAAGATCTGGCTGATGATGCACTAGATTTGGTGGGGGCTTTGTGTGTGTGTGTGTGTGTTTTGTTTGTTTTTGGGACAGGGTCTTGCTCTGTTGCCCAGCCTCGAGTACAATGGTATGAACACAGCTCACTGCAGCCTTGAACTCCTAGGCTGAATCATCCTCTTGCCTCAGCCTCCCATGCTGCTGGGACCACAGGTATGCAACACCCCAGCCAGCTAATTTTTAGAGTTTTTAATAGAGATGTGGATCTCACTATGTTGCCCAGGCTGGTCTCAAACTCCTGGGCTCAAGTGATCCTCCTGCTTTAGCCTCCCAAGTTACTGGGATTACAGGCATGAGCCTCTGTGCCTGGCCTCTTTTTTTAAATTATTATTATTTCTATTTTTCAAGCTAGGGTAGCTATGCAGTAACAGAAAATTCTAGTTATTTTAAAAACAGGATTGTAAGAGAAGCATGTTAATATAATTGGGTTTTCTCCTTTTTATAATTTTAACATTTGTGATCCAGGGAGTAAATGTGCAGTTTTGGTATATGGGTATATTGTATTACACTGAGGTTTGGCCTTGGCATATGCCCCAATCAACAACTGCTGTTTTCCTGGGATAGTCCTTGAGGAATCCCAAAAGTACCTGGAGAGCTCCCTCTTAACGTCCTCGCCACCAGCCACCACTGACTCATTCCTGATGGCCCTCTTGATGATCATGACGGCATCATGCGGGACCACTCCATCTCCTCCATAAACTGCTCAGCACTGCCACGGAGGATGAAGGTGCATGTTTTGGCCTTGGGGCAGCCAGTAAAAAAACTGTACCTCTCACCTTTAATCTGGGTCTCTTCAAACATGTGGCATCGACCCAGCTGAGACAGCATTGATCTGCTGAGAGAGCATTTGCACTGGTCTGGATTGAGCCTCCATAGGCCCTCATAGTCCTCTTCAGATTCCCCTCAGGTACTTGGCCGGCAGAGAACATGTTCCTGTTAGAAAAGCACTGGTGGCCATAACCCCAATGAGGAGTTTGGACAAGACAATGTGGGCTCCAGAATAATGGATCCCCTTTAACTTGTCATAGAGAATGTTCCACTCAGCATCGACAATCGCCTGATAATCCTCAACAGTGTGGACTCTTATGTCAGCATTATCTTTCTCAGCTTTCAACTCGAGCTCGACATTCAAAAGGGCAATCTCGGGATTGTGGTGTTTCTTGGGGGTTGCATTTCAAACTCAGCATAAGAGAAAGTCTTGTTGAATGCAACATCAGATACCAGCTGAGAATCCTTGAGGGCTCCACCCTGTAGCTTCTTGATTCCAATCATTTTAAACTGAAGCAAATCATCAAGCATCATCACTGCATCCACCACCATCTTAGCAAAGAAAGCTTTCTGCTGTGAGCTCCAGAGCAGTCCCAGCACACTATTCCAGCAGCTTCCTCTGCTCCATTTTATCTGCCTTCTTCACAGTCAAAGCAATCTCTTCAATCTTGTTAACTGCCAGCTAGGTGGCTGTGCAGAAACCTCAAATAATGAGCTGAGGGTGTTAACCTTCCTTCACCTACAGTTTCACCTGTTTCAGAAACTCGGCAAGGTCACTGAGGTGGTACCATCACCAACCTCAGCATCTTGGGATTTGGCAATGTCCACTAAAGTCTTTGCTGCAAGGATGGACAACATCAAGAATTTTCAGAATTGTGGCCACATCATTAGAAATTGTCACTTTGCCTCTGCCATCCACAATAAGTTTATCCATGCCATGGACACCCAGGGTGGTTCTTACAGCCTTAGCAATCACCTGGCAGGCACTGATGTTATTCACAAGCTGGAGGAAGCCTTGGGAGCTATCAGTCCCCTCTTTCAACAAGATAACTGGTGTGGGCATCATTTTAGCTTATTCAGTGGCCCGCTAATCTCCTTTCTTCTCCATGACCGGTCCGCCCAGCAACCCATCCACTTTTTGACTTTTTAATAATTGATATTCTGGCTGGTATGAGATGGTATCTCATCATGGTTTTGATTTGCATTCCTCTGACAATTAGTGATGCTGAGAATTTTTTTATGTTTGTTGGCCACTTGTACGTCTTCTTTTAAGAAGTGTCTGTTCATGTTCTTTGCCCACTTTTTAATGGGGTTATTTGGTTTTTGCTTGTTGAATTGTTTAAGTTTCTTACAGATTCTGGATGTCAGATCTTTGTTGGCTACACAGTTTGCAAATATGTTCTCCCATTCTGTAGGTGTCTGTTTACTCTGTTGATAGTTATTTTCTACCCTGCAGAAGTTCTTTAGTTTAATTAGGTCTCACTTGCCAATTTTTGATTTTGTCACAATTGCTTTCAAGGACTTGTTAAATTTTTTTTCCCAAGGCCAATGTCCATAATGGTATTTCTGAAAATTTCTTCTAGGATTCTTATAGTTTGAGGTCTTATATTTAAATCTCCAATCTGGCTGGACATGGTGACTCAAGCCTGTAATCCCAGCACTTTAGGAGGCCAAGGCAGCTGGATCACCTGAGGTCAGGAGTTCGAGACCATCCTGGGCAACATGGTGAAACCCCATCTCTACTAAAAATACAAAAATTAGCTGGGTGTGGTGGCGCACACATGTAGTCTCAGTTACTTGGGAGCCTGAGGCAGGAGAATTGCTTGAACCCAGGAGATGGAGGTTGCAGTGAGCTGAGATGCTGCCACTGCACTCCAGCCTGGGTGACAAGAGCGAGACTCCTTCTCAAAAATAAAAAAATAAATAAGTCTTCAATCCATCTTGAGTTGATTTTTTTGTATGGTGAAAGTTAAGGGTCCAGTTTCTTGTTCTGCATATAGATAGCCAGCTATGCCGGCACCATTTATTGAATAGGGAGTACTTTTTCCCATTGCTTATTTGTGTCAACTTTGTCAAAGATCAAATGGCTGCAGATGTGCAGTTTATTTCTGGGTTCTCTATTCTGTCCCAGCCATTATCCTAAGCCAATTCATTCAAGAACAGAAAACCAAATACTGCATGTTCTCACTATGTACCAGTACCATGCTGTTTTGGTTACTATAGAATAGCTAGAAGTCAGGTGATGTGATGCCCCTGCCCTTTTTTTTTTTTTTTTTTGGATTGCTTTGGCTAATGGGGCTGGTTTTGCATTCCATATGAGTTTTAGAATAGTTTTTTTTCTAATGATGTGAAAAATAACATTGAACGTGTAATAGGAATGGCACTGAATCTGTAGATTGCTTCGGGCAGTATGGCCATTTTAATGGTACTGATTCTTCCAACCTATTAGTGTGGAATGTTCTTCTATTTGCTTGTGTCATCTATGATTTCTTTCAGCAGTAGTTTGAGGTTAACCCTGTAGAGATCTTTCATTTCCTTGGTTATAAGTATTCCTAGGGGTGCGCACGCGCACCTAGGTGTGTGTTGTAAATGGGATTACATTCTTGATTTGGCCATCAGCTTGAACATTATTGGTATATAGAATAACTAATTTTTGTACATTGATTTTGTATCCTAAAACTGCTGAAATCATTTATCAGTTCTAGGAGCCTTTTGGCAGAGTCTTTAAGGTTTTCTAGTTATGATCATATCGAAAGTGAAGAGAGATAGCTTGACTTCTTTTCCTATTTGTATGTCGCATCTTTGTTTCTCTTGCCTGATTGCTCTGGCTAGGACTGCCAGTACTATGTTGAATAGAAGTGGTGAGAGTGGGCATTCTTGCCTTTTTCCTGTTCTTAAGGAGAATGTTTCCAGCTTTTGCCCATTCAGTATGATGTTAACCGTGGGTTTGTCATAGACAGTGCTTATTATTTTCAGTTATGTTCCTTCAGTGACTTGTTTGTTGAGAGTTTTTGCCATGAAGGGATGTTGAATTTTTTTGAAAGCTTCTTCTGCTTCTATTGAGATGATAATAATGGTTTTTGCTTTTAATTCTGCTTATGTGGTGAATCATATTTATTCCTATGCATATGTTAAACCACCTTGCATCCCAGGAATAAAGAAAGTAGGCAACTATTGTC